CGCCAGCGCAGTGGCTATGCCTATACTTCTGGCACTTTGGAAGTCGAGGCAGGCGGGTTGCTTGAGCTCAGCAGTTCAGGACCAGCCCTGGGGCAACATGGCAAGACCCCCTCTCTACTAAAATAGCCAGGTGTTGTGGTGCATGCCTGTGATCCCAGCTACTTGGAAGGCTGAAGGTGGGAGATCACTTGAGCTGAGGGGCAGGGTGTGCAGTAGCCATTGGTGCCACTGCACTACAGCCTGGACAACAGAGTGGAGACCTATTTCAGGAAAAAAAAAAAGAAAAAGAAATAAAGAAGGTAACTCTTTTGCCATCTGGACAATGTAATTTAGTATTTTCATAAAAACATATAAGCTATTTAAAGAAAAATATCTGTAGCGTAAGGCTTTGGCAAGTTAAGGCAAAAAATCTTTTTATTAAAGTAAAAATGAGGTATTTTTCTGTTCTTATTTAGGGACTTTCTAGATTTTTCATATCTTATCTGATCTTCAGGTAATAATGTGAGTTGAAAAAGGAAGTATATTGTTAAACACGTCATTTCCAGTGATGGAACTGAGTCCTTGAGGTTCCAAAGTGACTGACTTTACCAGGAGCACATGAGTTACATAAGCATGATTTGTAGGCGAGGTTCAGATCTTCTGAGCAGTACTTCTTTAACCTATTATCTATTGTAAACTGTCCAGAAAGAAACAAAAGGACAAAGGGAGTGGGAGTTTGCCAATTTGGGAAACATAAATCAATTGTTCTGGCACATATACAATATTGTCTAGCTCTTTTGCACATAAACAGATGTGTGAAATGTTCACTGAAATTGAATAAATGATGAATATCTACATGCTTAAAACATTTTATGCTCAAGCTAGCCCAACAAAACATGCACACAAAAGAAACCAGAACGATATGCCATCAACCGGAAGGCCAACATGCCCCTACACACAGTCTAATTGGGATTAAATGAGATCCCGCAATAAGTCAACTGGCCATTCTAGTCAGATAAGAGTTATGGGCCGGGCGCGGTTGGCTCACGCTCTGTAATCCAGCACTTGGGAGGCTGAGGCGGGTGCACCTGAGGTCAGGAGTCTCAAAGACCCACCTGGACCAACATGGAAGAAACCCTGTCTTCACTAAGAAAAATACAAAATAGCAGGAGTGGTGGGCACATGCCTGTAATCCCCGCTACTCGGAGGCTGAGGCCAGAAGATATCGCTTGACCCCAGGAGAACCGGAGGTTGGTCGGTGGCTAAGATCGTGCATTGCACTCCCAGTCTCGGGCAAAAGAAGCGAAACTCCGTCTCCAAAAAAAAAAAAGAAGAAAAAAGATAAGGAGTTACGTACTACAGTTGATATCTTGAAAAGTCAAGTTCTTCTTTCAAGGTTACACTAAAAATTATTAGTTCTACTAATGCATATAACCTTCTAATAGTCAATCAAAGAATTTCCGAAACTACTCCTCTGTCAGTTTATTTTGATTTTCTAATGCATCTACTTTGCCTGAAGGTTGTTTACAGTAGCACTATAAAACAGAGAAAAAAATATAATCACTTTTGAAAACAGCAATACCCCGTACTTCCTTTTAAACTCTTCACACTTCACCTCTTCCTGTCTAATGTTACAAATTGTTTAATTTAATTATTATTTTTTTAGAGGAGTGTTTGTCAGTTCCCAAAAAAAAAAAAAAAAGTGAACATATATACAACACTGAATTGTCATAAGGACAGTGGCCCTTAGAAAATCTTTTGGAAATAATGATTTCTCAATGCACAAAATCTTGAAACTGGTATTTCTAATGCTTTCTTTCTCGTTCCTTCTCTTTCTTTAATTTTTGTTTTGTTTTGTTTTGAGACGGAGTCTCGCTCTGTGGCCCAGGCTGGAGTGCAGTGGCGCGATCTCGGCTCACTGCAAGCTCCGCCTCCAGGGTTCACGCCACTCTCCTGCCTCAGTCTCCTGAATAGCTGGGACTACAGGCGCCCGCCACCGCGCCCGGCTAACCTTTTTGTTATTTTCAGTAGAGACGGGGTTTCATCGTGTTAGCAAGGATGGTCTCGATCTCCTGACCTCGTGATCCACCCGCCTGGGCCTCCCAAAGTGCTGGAATTACAGGCGTGAGCCACCACGCCCGGCCTCTTTAATTTTTAATTAAACTTTAATGTTTTATTCACTGTGCTCAGACATAGAATAGCCATAGTCATTTAAAGACAATAATAAATATAAATACAGAAAACTGAAGGGGGAAAAAAACCTGAGAAAACTAGGAAGAAGTTCAGTGAAAAGGAAATAAAAGGATGTGTTGATTTTGAGGCAGACACTACATTCATATTACTTTTATTATAGTCTATTGTTAAAATTGTTTTATTTTATTATTGTTGCTAATCTCCTACCTTGCCTAATTTATAAATTAAACTTAAACATAGGTATATATGTATAGGAAAAAACAGTATATACAGAGTTTGGTACTATCTGTGGTTTCAGATATCCTTTGGCGGTCTTAGAATGTATCCCCTCCACATAAGTGGGAACTACTGTACTTTGTGACTACTTGGTGAATTAACTGCAATAATGGCAAAGAAATTTAATTTATATATTAAATTAATGCTATTAATTCAATGTACAAATGAGAAATGCACGGAAGCAAAGTATGTATCTTTTTTTTTTTTTTTCAGGCAGGGTCTGGCTCTGTAACCCAAGCTGGGGTGTAATGGCAAGACCAGGGTTCACTGCAGCCTCAACTTCCCAGGCTCAAGTGATCCCCGCACCTCAGCCCCACAAGTAGCTGGGATTACAAGCGTACACCCAGCTAGTTTTATTGAATTTTTTAATAGAGACAAGGTCTTGTTATGTTACCCTAGCTCGTCTTGAACTTCTGAGCTCAAGCAATCCTCCCGCCTTGGCCTCCCAAAGTGTTGGGACTACAGGTTTTGAGCCACCACACCTGGATGATATGATTAATTTAAAGGTACTAATGTAACGAGTGGTTTACACAAGATCAGCCCTGAAATATGCAGCTACATCTACTCAACTGAAAAAGCCACCCATTTCAACTGTATGTCACATATTTAAAAATTCTTAACTGAATGTATTTATGTATTTAATCACTAGAGTTATAATTACGTACATAATATTGTATACTGTTATTTTATATTATATATAACATTATATACTGCCTTTCACTAAAGGTCACCAAAACTGTTAAATGCTCTTTATTTATCTAGTGCCTAACTCAGTGCCTGGCAAGCAGGAATTCTACAAATATTTGTTGAACGTTGTCTGAATTTATCCTCACTGCTCATCATCTTACTCTTCCCTTCTCCTTCAACAATTCCCCAGTAAAGTAATACATTTATTCATTATTTACTTTAAATGTCTGTTCAGTTCTTCTACATAGTTCTTCTGGTCCAGAATTGCAGTAATCTGACCGTCTCTGGGGGAAGGGGAAGAAAAGAGAAATAAACTAAATAACATAAGAAATACCAAGATCCCAACCCCACCTCACCCCATCTTTTCATAAAACATGAGAAAAAAATTGTGGCACAGATACACTGAACCATAAGACATCTGATGTAAAACCCTATTGACATATTAACAAGAGTCAGGAGTTTAAAAATGACAAAACCCCACACTAATAAAGCTCTTGTTGTAGCTTACAAACCTTAGTATTAATAATTTAGGTCACAGGTATGATGTTGCAATCTATTAGACGCATTTAAAGGATAAAAATTTTCTTGTTAATAGGTTTTTCAGCTTCAGTAGTAGTACTTAATAGTAACAATTTCCAATCATCATAGGACTTGAATTAAGCTCACTCTGATATAATATAGCTGTTCTCAAGGGCTAAATATTTGTCTGTAAGTGCTATTTAACATTTAAAGTGAATGGTTAAAAAGGCTTTCATAAAGATCAAATGTTCATTATATATATTACATACATTTAATATTATATATATTATGTATATTTAATATTTTATATTTAATGTTTCATATATATTATATATATGGATTTTTTGTTTTGTTTTGGTTTTTTTAAGACGGAGTCTCGTTCTGTCACCCAGGTTGGAGTGCAATGGTGTGATCTCGGCTCACTGCAACCTCCGCCTTCTGAGTTCAAGTGATTCTCCCGCCTCAGCCTCCCAAATAGCTGGGATTACAGGCACCTGCCATCATGCCTGGCTCATTTTCTTTTTTATATTATTGTAGAGATGGGGTTTCACCATGTTTCCCGGGCTGGTCTCAAACTCCTGATCTCAGGTGATCTGGCTGCCCTGGCCTCCGAAAGTGCTGGGATTACAGGCATGAGCCACCATACCCGGCCCAAATGTTTATTATTACATGAAAAAAAAACTGGATAAAGGAGGTTGGCAACTACAACCAACTAATCTATAGTGACAAAAGATAAACAGCCAGATTTTTCAGCTGACAGATAAAATTAAGGCCCCAAACTTACACAACTACCAAAAGAACAGTGAGACAATCTTAGCTCCGTGTCAAAAATCAAAAACATCAGACTAATTATGCTTTCAATGGCTACACTTATAAAGAGAATAGATGTGCTTCTGATCTCTAATTACTAAGTACCCTAATGAATATTTTAAAACTGTTTAACATAATTTTAGATTTACAAGAAGAGGTATAAAGGCAGTACAGAATTCCCACGTACCTACACTCAGTTTCCCCTAATGTCAACATTTTACATAACCTCATGGTGCATATTTCATATTGCCAATTTTAAGCAAACTGAGAATGCAACTCCTCTGGTCAAAATGACTATGTTTTTAAACCCTACTATAAGACATAGAGAATTGGAATCCTTTAGAAAATTTTTATTTTCTTTGCCCCTGAACCACATAGCAGGAAAATCATTAAACAAACAAACAAAAAAGCCCTTTTAGGGTTTAGTGGTAGGCATAATAGTCAGATATTTCTGGCAAGACTTTATTAAAGCTATATGATCAGAAATTCTTTCAGCAAGTCTGTTAAAACAGTATTGTTGTAAACTTTAAATACTACCAAAGGAAAAAAAATACTACATCAGGAGAAAAGAAACCTAATTTTATTGGTACGTACCCTTCAGTACCTTTACTGCTGTTCCCATCCTTGAGATACATTGAAAAATCTATAACTCCAACCTACAGAGAGAATTTTCAGGTTTTAATATAAAATTAGATATTCTTTACAAGACATAACACAATATCTCCTTCTAGGCACTCAAAACAGTAATACAGTCCTGACACTTATTAGGAATGTATGATTAAAAATTTACTGTTTTACTTTCAGTTTAATCAAGAATTAACAAGGGTGGGAAGTAAAGAATCAAGATTATGTCAGTAAGACTAGAAGACCAGATTACAACTAAGACAGTCAACGGAATACTTAATATAAATAAGGTCTAAAGTTTTTTTCTCTTTTGCTTATTTCGGGTATTCCGCTACTGAATCCCTGTTCATTTTTAGAAATAACTTTTTAAAAATTAGCACATTTCCCCTGTAGAAGTTTCAGAAAATACAGCTAAACAAAAGGGGAAGTAATATTAAATCCCAACCACCATAGATGACCATTGCTAACATTTTGGTGTCTATTCCTCCAAACTTTCATTGATGTATACATCTTCATTTTTCAAGATTGCCATTTTATGATTTAGCTTCTTTCTTTTTAAAAATCCACGCCAAAGGCCAGGCACAGTGGCTCACGCCAGTAATCTCAGCACTTTGGGAGGCCGAGGCGGGTGAATCACCTGAGGTCAGGAGTTCGAGACCAGACTGACCAATATGGAGAAACCCTATCTCTACTAAAAATACAAAAATTAGCTGGGCATGGTGGCACACGCCTGTAATCCCAGCTACTCGGGAGGCTGAGGCAGGAGAATCGCTTGAACCCGGGAGGTGGAGGTTGTGGTGAGCCGAGATCTCGCCATTGCACTCCAGCCTGGGCAACAAGAGCGAAACTCCATCTAAAAAAAAAAAAAAAATCCACACCAAGAAAATCGTACTTCCCTTTCTATTTTACCAGAATAAAACATAACAGAAGTTTGTGATAGAATTTCATATAGAAAGGGTGAGAAGTAATTAAAGTGAAAATATTATTTATTGGGCAATTAATGTATACTAGGCCCTGTTCTAACTGCACTACATCAAGAAATCTGAAACAACAAGAAACAAGTAATTATAAAATATATTCAGCTAGAAAATGAGGAAGCCAGAATCCAAAACTAGACAGTTAGCTTCAGAGCCTTTACTCTTAACTACCATGCTTTAATGGCCTTTAGTACAGTTGGCTCTCCTTATCAGCAAGTCCTAAAACCCAGGGACACAGAGGGCTGACTTTAAGGGGCTTGAGCATTGTGAGTGTTGGTATTCACAGAGGTCCTGGAAACAATCTCCTTTGGAAACTGAAGGACAACTGTCCAGTTGATCCCTGAACAACAGACTTTGAACTGTGCAAGTCCACTTATATACTATATATATACAATATAAAATATGTATTTATATTTATATTATTTTATTTTTGAGACAAAGTATCACTCTGTCATCCAGGCAGAAAAAAATAAAGGTTTTCCTCCATCTCTGCCACTCCTGAGACAGCAAGACCAACCCCCTCCTCTTCCTCCTCGTCAACCTGGTTAGTGTGAAGGACCTTTATGATGATCTGGTTCCTTTATGATAATTCATTCATTTAAATGAATAGTAAATATATTTTCTCATCTTTATAATTTTCTTATAACATTTTCTTTTCTCTAGCTTACTTTATTGTAAGAATACAGCATATGAAATATACAATAGGCCGGGCACCATGGCTTATGTGGGATGTTTCTACCATGTGGTGCCTTACTCTGGTGTTCAAGAGTCAACTGTATATATTTTAGTATACACACACACACACCTCATTTTATTGCTCTTTGCTTCACAGATACTGCACTTTTTACAAATTGAAGGTTTGTGGCAACCCTGCGTCTAGCAAGTCTATTAGTGCCATTTTTCCAACAGCATGTGCTTGCTTCATGTCTGGGTTTCACATTTTGGTAATTCCCACAGTACTTCAAACTTTTTCATTATTATTATATCTGTTGTGATAATCTGTAATCAGTGATCTTTGATGCTACTATCAACATTATTTTGGGGCTCCATGAACTACACCCATATAAGATGGCAAGCAATCCATAAATGTGTGTGTTCTGACTGCTTTACTTACTGGCCGTTCCCCCATCTCTCTCCCTTCTCCTTGGCCTCCCTATTCCCTAAGACACAACAATACTGAAATTAGGCCAGTTAATAACCCTGCAATGGCCACTAAGTGTTCAAGTGAAAGGAAGAGTTGCACATTTCTTACTTTAAATCAAAAGCCAGAAAAAATAAAGCTCCGTGAAGAAGGCATGTCGGAAGCCAAGACAGGTCAAAAGGTAGGCTTTCTGGGCCAAACAGTCAGGTTGTGAAAGCAAAGGAAAAGTTCTTGAAGGGAATTAAGTGCTACTCCAATGAACAAATGAATGACAAGAAAGCAAAACAGCCTGATTGCTGAAAGGAATAAAGTTTGAGTGGTCTGTATAGAAGATCAAACCAGCCACAATATTCTCTTAAGCCAACACCTAATTCAGAGCAAGGCCTTAATGCTCTTCAATTCTATGGAGATTGAGAAGTAAAAAAGCTGCAGAGGAAAAGCCTGAAGTTAGCAGCGACTGGTTTATGAAGTTTAAGGAAATAAACTGTCTCCATAACATAAAGGTACAAGTTGAAGCAGCAAGCGTTGATGTAAATAATAGAAGCTGTAGCAAGTTATCCAGAATATCTAATTAAGATAATTGATGAAGGTGGATACACTTAACAACAGATTTTAGTTGTAGTCAAAACAGCCTTCTATTAGACAATGCCACCTAGGACTTTCATAGCTATAGATGAGAAGTCAATGCCTGGCTTCAAAGCTACAAAGGACAGACTGACTCTCTTGTTAGAGGCTAATGCAGCTGGTGACTTTAAGTTGAAGCCAGTGCTCATTCACCATTCTGAAAATCCTAGGGCCCTTAAGAATGATGCTAAATCTACTCTGCCTATGCTCTATAAGTGGAATAGCAGGCTGGGCATGGTGGCTCAGCCAGTAATCCCAGCACTTTTGGAAGCCAAGGCAGGGAGATCACTTGAGGCCACCAGTTTGAGATCAGCCTGGGCAACATGGCAAAACCCCGTCTCTACTATAAATACAAAAATTAGCCGGGTGTGGTGGTACATGCCTGTAGTCCCAGCTACTCAGGAGAATGAGGCATGAGGATTGCTTGAGCCCAGAAGGTGGAGGTTGCAGTGAGCTGAGATGGTGCCACTGCATTCCAGCCTAGGCGACACATCAAGACTCTGTCTCAAAAAAACAAAAAACAAAAACCAAAAAAACAACGGGTACAGCAAAGACAGCACATCTGTTTACAGCATGGTTTACTAGAGTATTACATAAACTTAGTTGATAAAGCAGCAGCAAGATTTGAGAGGACTGATTCCAATTTTGAAAGAAATTCTACTGTGGGTAAAATGCTGTCAAACAGCATGGTATGCTACAGAGAAATCTTTTGTAAAGGAAGCCAATTAATGTGGCAAACTTCACTGTTGTCTTATTTTAATAAATTGCCACAGCCACCTCAACTTTCAGCAACCACCAAGCTCAGTCAGCAGCCATCAACACTGAGGTAAGACCCTCTCCCAGCAAAAAGATTACAACTCACTGAAGGCTGAGGTGATTGTTAGCATTTTTTAAGCAATAAAGTATTTTTAAGTTAAGGTATGTATACTATTTTTTACACATACACTATTACATACTTAATAATAGTGTAAACAAACTTTTTATTTAAAAAATTTTTTTAGAGTTTTATTTTGAGACAGGGTCTCACTGTCACCCAGGCTGGAGTGCAGTGGCACAATCATGGCTAACTATAGCCTTGACCTCCCAAGCTCAAGTGATCCTCCTTCCTCAGCCTCCCAAGTAGCCACCAGAACCAGCTAATTTTTTTTTTTTGGTAGAGATGGGGTCTCACTATGTTGCCCAGGCTGGTGTCAAACTCCTGGGTTCAAGCGATACTCCCGCCCCAAAGTGCAGGGATTACAGGTGTGAACCATCGCACCTGGCCTAGTATAAACAAACTTTTACATGTACTGGGAAACCAAAAAATGCATGTGACTTGCTTTATTATGATATTTGCTTTATCGTTGTGATCTGAAACCAAACCTGCAATATCTTGGGTTTGCCCGTGTTTGTGTGTGTATGTATGTGTATGTAAATATGTAGGTGTGTGTATATATATACGTTTAACAGAAAGTACAACCAAGACAAGAATCTGAAAAACATTCGTAACGTATAAATGCGCCAAACTGGAAGGAAAAACAACCTATTTTTTTATATTCCCATCAAAATGGAAGGAAATCCTCCTGTTCATGACACATACAGTATGGCCTAATTTGATTGCTATAACCTAATCAAATCCATTTCTGAGATACCAGAACTCAGAGTGACACGCATGGTAATGAGTCTCTTTCCCATACCTGAGAGTCCAAGTCTTCTCCTTTCATACAGAAATTGGCATCAATGACATTCAGACCCACCAACAGACCAGCAATTATGGCTCCTTCTTCTTCCATCATGAGGGCATTGGGTTCATAGAATTCACTGTAAGAGAAATCCACGGAATTCCTTATTGTAACAAAAGTCTCAAAAATCCAGTGACGTAATCAGGAGACAAGGACAAAAACGCTTGCTTCATGGTTGATTATAGTCATCTACAAAAATAGTTAAAAAATTACAAAAAGAAAGGCTTTAATAAATATTTTATTTTTAAATAATAGGTGGATGTTGGCAAGTGGAACTGGAGAAAAATTTTTTTAAAAGAAAAAAGATAATAGGTGCATGAATAGATTCTTTAGATAATAGTCTCGCAGAAAGACATGTGACTGAACAGTGTTGTGGTTGAAGCAGGTATTCAGACTTTTCTGACATATTTGTACTTGTGATGTACCGTCACATGATTCTGCAATCTTTTATGCATCTTAAAGCATTTGTTTGGTAGTTCGGCGTGGTGGTTCGCATCTGTAATCCCAGCACTTGGGGAGGCCAAGGGGGGAGGACTGTTTGAGACCAGGACTTTGAGACCAGCTTGAGCAACATAGTAAGACCCCATCTCTACTAAAAACAAAAAAAAAATCTGAATGGATAAAAATTATTGGCTGGACACAGTGGCTCACGCCTGTAATCCCAGCACTTTGGGAAGCCGAGGCAGGTAGATCACTTGAGGTCAGGAGTTCGAGACCAGCCTGGCCAACATGGTAAAACCCCATCTCTACTAAAAATACAAAAAATAGCTGGGTGTAGTGATGCATGCCTGTAATCCCAGCTACTCAGGGGGCTGAGGCAGGAGAATTGCTTGAACACAGAAAGCGGAGGTTGCAGTACTCCAGCCTGGGTGACAGAACAAGACTGTGTCTCAAAAAAAAAAAAAAATTTCGTGAAGACCCATAGATAATTAAATACTGCTTATAATGCACCTAAATTACTAATACACACACAAAGAAACCAGTGATGTAATTCATATGATTTAACTATTGCATTCCTTGGTATTTACCCAAATGAGTTAAAAACTTATGTTCACATAAAAACCTGCATACATGTGTTTATAGCAGTTTTACTCTTAATTGCCAAAATTTGGGAGCAACCAAGATGTTCTTCAGTAGATGAATGGACAATGGCATATGACTTAGCACTAAAAAAGGGAACTATCGCTGGGCGCAGTGGCTCACGCTTGCAATCTCAGCACTTTGGGAGGCCGAGGTGGGCGGATCACCTGAGGTCGGGAGTTCGAGACCAGCCTGACCAACATGGAGAAACCCTGTCTCTACTAAAAAAAAAAAATACAAAATTAGCTGGGCATGGTGG